GCCAGGCACAGTGCCAAGTGCTGCCTGGCATGCCACCCATGAAATCTCACGGAGGGCCTGGCATCGCCCTGCTTGACAGAAGAGGAAGCCAGGCTCCACAGAGATCCTTGCTACTGGCCCAGGGTCACAGCTCAAGATAAGTAGGGGCAGGATTCAATCTCAGGTTGGTCGGAAGCCAGAACCCCAGCTCTTAACCACAGGTGAAATTTCTCCTTCAAGTAAAATCTTGAAAGGTGAGCAGAGAGAAGACCTTGGCCTCACAACTCAAGGTTAATGGCTAAGCGCTAGAGCAGCCAACCCTGAGAACTCAGGAAATAACTGTAGTTTTGTTTTTGTTTTTGTTTTCAGTTTCACTGAATTACCTAGAACTCTGTGTTCTTCCCCTCCCACTCCACCCAGTGAAACCTTCCTTTCCAATTGCATAACAGAGCTCAGATGTCTGGAGGGAGGGCAAAAATAAGAGTAAAGCCAAATAAATGCATCTTTACTTTTAAAAACTGGCTTGAAAGTCCTTCTGTGGTTGGGGCAGAACTCTGGCCTAAGGTGCCTGAGAGTTGGGGGATGGGCAGATACTAAATTCAAGGCAAGCCAAGATAAGGGTGTCTTTCCGCAACAGGAACAGGTTTCAAGACACAGAGCAGGGGAGTGGACAAGCAAGAAGGGGACAAAAAGGTAGGCCTGGGGCAGGGAGCAGAGCTAAGCACAAAAACCCTGAAGACACCTGCTACAGACAGTCCCCTGCGGCCCCACCCCTCGCTCCCACTCAAGTGCCTCAGGGAGGTGCTCATCTGCCCACAAGTGTCCCTTCCACCCTTCCTCCAGCCTTGCAGCATGTCACAGGGCAGAGCACAGAGCTTCCTGCTCCTGTCAGCCCACAGCACAGTCTGGAATCCCTCATCTGCAACCTTCCAAGCAGAGAAAGTTCCCCAGCCACAAGCCCTGAACTCCTCCTCATGCACAGTTAAGCCAAGAATAGAGGGAAATGGAACCCATTATTCTCATTCTGAATGGCTGGGAAATGGCTTTTGCTTTTCAACATGAAATGCGCCTAAAAATAAGCTGTGAGTTTCAACCAGAGGTTGAAAATAGCTCTGCAGTGAACAGAGCTCTGTTGAGAGTAGGCTCAAGGACAGCCTTCATTCCAAGATCTGAGATCGGGAAGATACGAAATGCTACCGTCAGAAGGGGTCATGGGCAGGGGGGTTTCCCAGGATGGAGGGACTACGACAGGCTGATGGGGCTGCCCTTGCCCTGCTCCTGGTGCACAGAGCAAGGGAGCCAGGCAGAGCCTTTCCGCTTGGCTCTGACTGCCATGCTGAACAAGCACATGATCAGGTCTTCAACACCCACACCTTACTCCTTGGACTTCACAGAGTCCCCCAATTGCCAGAAGTACTTCATGCTGTTTTAGCACTTTCAGCTCAAAGTGCAGATACAGCTGCACGGGACACACAGTCACCAGAGTCCTGAGTTCCTGGAACATGGTTATGGTGCTCAAGGGCTCTGAGAAGCCAAGTGCCCTGGTCAGCCACTAAATCTCTGATATCTCTGATCAAGGGAGGCATTTTGGGAAGAAATGACAAGAACACACTCTAATTTTAAGCAAAGAAAACCAAGCTGTTAAAGGCAAAGGGTCTTTTTATGTTGTTTACCATTACCTCTAGATTATTCTAAAATTTGACAGGTCAAACAACATTCCCATAAAATGGACTTCTGTTACAAACCCAAGCTGGAGGGCCAGCCCAATAGCTCAGCAGATTAAAGCGCCTGCTTAGGCAGATGCAGGGGCCCAGGAATTTGATCCCTGGCCTGCCATGCCAGCCCAGGGGGTGCACTGAGATGGTGATTGGGACTGGGTGTGGTGGCATACACCTACAATCCCAGCATGTGGGAGGCTGTAAACGGGAGGATCATTATGAGTTCGATCTATGCAGTGAGACCCTGTTTACCTGTCTTAAATACAAAGAAAAGAAACCCAAGCTGAGAAATCTGGGCTACAACCATTAGTGGGGCCTCAGATCTGTCCCAGCTGAGCAGAATGCTCACAAAGGGCTATTGGGACTGGCCTTCTTGAGCTCCCTCTCCACACTTCTCCACTTCCCTACTGCTCCTCTCCCCTCCTGTGGCTCCTCCCACCCCCTCCCTTCTTCTTTCTACTGTGATGACAGCCCAACCCCTCAATCCTCCTCTTGCCAATCAGCTTCCTCCTCTCCCCCTTCTCTTTTAAAAATTTTTCGCCATACTGGGAATTGAACTCAAGGTCTTCATACTGAGTTACATTCCCAAGCCTTTTACAACAGGTTTGCACTGTCTTTAAATTGCCCAGGTTGGGCTGAAGCTTGCAAATGTGCTTGCTTCAGCCTCCCAGAGAGCTGGGGTTATAGGTTGTGCCACCACATATGGCTTTCTGAGCTCACCCGAGCCAGGAGGTACTGCAGTGATTCTCAATTATGGACTTATGATAACATCTGACAATATCTGTGGTCATCCCCATTGGGGAGTAGGAGATGGAATGCTATTGGTTTGGAGAGGGCAAAGGCCAGAAAGGCTACTGGCCCTCCTCCAGTGCACAGGACAGCCCTTACAGCAAAGGACTATCTAGTTCAAAACAAGAACACTGCATAGGTTGAGCAGCCCTGGGCTACTAAAAGGATAGAACATGGCCAGAGCTGGAGGGCACACACCCATCAGACTCACAGTTCATGGGCTACGGCAATGCTTCTGGGCTCCTCAGGAGAAGCTGAGATACCTCGATCAGTCAGAGAACCTCAATGCCAAGGAAAGTTTGGCAAAAAAAACCCAAACAGGCAAGAACACACTCAGCTTCCCTTCCTATCTCAGCAGAAAATCTAACTACTGAACAGTGCTATAAAAACCAGCTCTCCCCAGTTTGAGAGAATGAAAAAGTTCTGGAGATGGATGGGCTGGAGTACAACAGTGGGAATATACTTGAAATGCTGGTGAGCTGTTCACTTAACAATGGTTAAAATGCTCAATTT